TATTGTGGAGCTGAGCAAGGTGATATTGTTAATAATCTCTAGCTCTTCTCCATCCAACCTGGTGCTGCCAATTGGTCCTATGGTGAGAATCTTTGTTCTTGATGTTGAGTTTCAATCTAAATTGAAGACTATAGTCCTTGGTCTTCTGAAGCAAATGCTTCATATTCTCTTTAGTTTTAGCAAGCAAGGTTGTATCCTCTACATAATGCAGACTGTTAATGAGTCTTCCTCCAATCCTGATGCCACATGGCAAAACCATTTTTCTTATTTTAGGTAATAAGAAAATTTCTTATTTTTCTATTTTTAAAGTCTCATTATATTAGTAAGAGTGGTAATTATCCCAGCCCTATTTTCATCTGCCAGATCTGTGGTCTAGTTTATTGGTATGAGGTGTTGCTATTGGAACGGGGAGAGGAGAGTAGCAAGCTACCAAACTCGTGCTTTAAGGATACAAGAAAGGAAATTTGCAGTTTTATTTGGAGAGGAAAAAGACCCCGAATAAGCAAAGCTCTTTTGAAAAATGAAAATAAAATGGGAGGTATCACACTCCTTGATCTCAAAACCTACTACACAACTATTGTAATCAACACAGCATTTTTTTTGGTACAATGACAGATATATAGATCAAGGGAATAGAATTGAGAATTCAGAATTCAATCAATCAGCCTATGTTCAACTGATATTTGGCAAGGTAAATCCATTAAATGGGGAAATAATAGCCTCTTTAACAAATGGCAAAATTGGGCATCTACAGAAAATGGAAACAGGATCCACATCTCAATATTATTTTCAAAATAAAATAAAAAGGAGTAAAGACATAGGAGTAAAACTCAAAACCTGTAAGGGTCATAAGAGACAAAATGAGAACAAACTAGAATCCCTAGCCTATAATATAAATAGATTTGATAATGGAGCCAAAATGCAGAACAGGAGAAGATAAAATCACTGAAGGAGACCTTCTGGAAATCAAATTCCTCTATGTATCAAAACCTTTTTGCAATAAGACAAAAACAGACTGTGAAAAATATTTAACAATGACTTTTCAGACTGAAGTCTCATAAAGTTTACAGAATACTACAGAGACTAAAAGACAGAGATGGAAAGGCCAGTTACAAACTGGACAAAAGACAGGAAAAGACTTTACACAAAGGAAGACTTTTGGATGGCCAATGTTCAAAATTAGTGGAAATCAGAGAGATGCAAATAAAAACAATAGTAAGACACTATCTTATGTCATCAGGGACAGAAAGAAATACACGTTGGAGAGGATGCAGAAAGATTGGGACTCTCATGCACTGCTGATGGGATGGTAAAATAATACAAATACTAGGGAAGGCTATTTGGTGTTTCCTCAAAAAAATTGAACACAGATATCCCATATGATCCAGCCATTCCACTGCTGGGTACATACTTCAGGGAAATCACAGCTAAGACACAGACATATGTACACCCATATTCACAGCAATTTTATTCACAATATCAAGAAAATAGAAAGAACCCAAATACCCATCAACAAATTAATAGATTGAAAAACTGTAGTATATTCACACAATGGAATACTATGCATCACTAAAGAATAACAGTCACAGAACATAATACAACATGGGAGAGTCTAGAAAGCATTATGTTGCATGAAATAACTCAATAGCAAAAGGACAAACACTGCATAAGACCACTACTGTGAAAATTGGAGAGTAATTGAGAGGAAGGTGAGAAAGAGAACATTAGAAATGGAATGGATAAGTAAAGAACAATACAAAGACCAAGTCAAGGGAGGATCAACCTGAAAGACACGATGGCTTTTGCAATTAGCTATCTCTCTCTCTCTTTCTCTATCTCCCTCTATCTCTCTCTCTATAGCTGTATCTATCAATCTATCAATCTATCTATCTACCTACCTACCTACCTACCTACCTACCTACCTACCTACCTACCTATCTATGTTGTTGTTAAGTGCCATTGTAGAGGACTCATAGCAACTGTATGCACGAAAAACCTGAACACTTGTGTAACTTTCATCATTTCTCCACGTTCATAGAGTTTCCAGAGGCAAGCTATTTTGGAAATCGATGCCACTCATTTTCCCAAGCTTGTTTTAGTTGAGAAACTCTACCAAACACTGTCTACCACGGGTAACCATTATCACATTTGATACATCAGTGTCATAGTGTTTAGCATCACAGCAGCCATGAGTTACCTCTGTACAACAAGTGGACAGAACAATGCTATACCACTCAGAATAATGTTTGAATAAAAATAATTAAAACCAATCCTGAGGGTTGAGGATCAAAATCACCCACCTTTGGCTAAGTAGCATAACTTTCTATCCACTAGGCCAACAGAGCTCTCTCTATGTTGTTGCTAAGTGCTGTCGAGTAATAGGCGACTCATAGTGGCCCTATGAATAGAAGACCTGAACACTTGTATAACTTTCATTGTTTCTCTCTCTCTCTCTCTCTCAGATCACAATAAATTGTGGCTAATCTTGAGAAAAATGGGACTCTCAGGACATTTGATCATGCTTATGTGAAACCTATACTTGGACCCAAAAGCAGTCCTCAGAACAGAGCAAGGAAACACTGCATGGTTCAAAATCAAGAAAGGAGTGTGTCAGGAATGCAACCTAATCCCATACCTTTTTAAACTGTATTCAGAACAGATCGTTCAGGAAGTAGGACTTTATGAAGAAGAGTGTGGCATCAAGATTAGAGGAAGATTCATTAATTCATTAACAACCTACGGTATGCATATGAGACAATCTTGCTTGCTGAAGAAGACCTGAAGCACTTGCTGCAAAAAGTCAAGGACTTTAGTTTTCAATATGGATTGAAGTTCAGCATCAAGAAGACAAAGATTTCCTCCACAGGGCCAATTGGCAGTACCATGATAGATGGAGAAGAGACTGAAGTTGTTTGATATTACAGCTTTCTTTGATCCATATTCAACACTTTTAACATCAGCAGTCAGGAAATCAAAAGACAAATTGCATTGGGAAAATCTGCTGTCGTGGACCTCTCCAGAGTGCTGAAGAACAATGATGTCTGTCTGGATACAAAGTTGTGCCTAATCCAGGCCATGGTCTTTGCAATTACTTGTTATGCCTGGACAATGACTAAGGATGACAGAACAAGAATAGATGCTTTTTTGTTGTAGTGCTGGAAAAGAGTCTTAAACATACCATGGACTGCCAAGAAAACAAATTGGTCTGTCTTGGAGAGGGTGAAACCAAGTGTCTCCTCAGAGGTTAGGATTTTGAAGCTGTGCCTCACTTACTTTAGGCACATGGCCAGGAAAGATGAGTCTTTGGAGAAGGACATTATGCTCAGAAGAGTGCAAGAGAGGAAGACCCCAGATGCGATGAATTGATACAGTGACTGGGGCAATGCAGGCTGCTGTGTCATAATTAGTGAGACTTACTCAGGACAGGGAAGAGTTCAGAGTTTCTGTACATAGGGTTGCTACACCTCGCAGGCTACTCAATGGCACATAACAACAATAACATACTATGACAGGTTTAGAAGCAGGAGTGGCATCCACTTCCAAAATAACATGTCTCCGGAAATTTGATGAACTTTGATAAATGTTGATGGTTGTAGAGGGGCTTCAGGCCTTCTGTTCATAGGGTCGTTATGAGTCATGTTCAACTTTAGGCAACCATTAAAAATAATATATCTATATATCTGTTTAAAAGAGAAAGGGGAGAAGGCAGGTGGAAGAATGGAGAGGAAACTCCTAGGATTAATCTCTAGCAGAGATTAGTGGGGGATAGGCAGGGTGAAGAAATAGGTAAGGTAAATGAGGACTTGCAGAGACAGGAAGACAGAAGTAATAGACCCGTAGTAATTAATGATATAAAATACAATGCACCGGTGGGCTCTGGTGGCCTAGTGGCAAGAAACTGCACTACAATACCAGAAGTGTGTGGTTCGGATCCACCATATGCTTTGCTGAAGAAGGAGGAGCAATCTCCTCCTGTACCAGTCAGATCTGATTTGACGATACACATACAAAAACAAAAAAACAAACAAACAATAAAACACAAAACAATGCACCAAAATGATTGTATATAACAAATGCATAGGAATGAAACAATGAATTCAAATGAGTGTATAAAAGTGAATGATGGTATTAATAAAAAAAATGGCAGCTGTTAGAGAAGACAGAAAAAATATTTGGAAGAAAGCTTTAATAGAATTAAACAGTGGATCTATCTTTTTATTTCTCATAGTCTTTGTATTTACTCTTCCCTCTCCTTTTTTGCCTTTGAGGTTAAGTGACTTTATCCATAAATATCCTTCTTGGAGGATTTTGTTTACTGTAATTTCTCCACTCACTTATGCTGCTTTTATTTGCTTTTGTGAGCATTATAGCTTGACTCCTTTCATGTCCTGCTCCTTCTGCCACTCAGTTTTGCTCAGGGCTATGGTCTCTCATTTACCACAATCTCTTTGAATCACTAATAAATAGTATCTATTTTCTGTTGTTCTGTTGAGTGGACTGTAATTCATAGTAACCCTGGCCTTATCAATTGCTTTGAGACTTAACTTCCAACAGTGCTGAAGGTCTTCTACTCTGCCTCCTGGAAAAACCATCTCTAAGTCAAATATAGAAAATCTTGAGTTTTTTTCCCAATATTTTCTTTTTTTTCCCCTTCTCACCATCTTAGTTTATAAAAAACAACAACAAGAAAATCCCCCAAATATAGAAATTCTTTAAGTAACACTTACCTTTGTTAGAATGAATAAGATAAATTATGATTAAACCTTTGTCTTAACAAAATTACTTTGAAATTAGTATAACGAAATTATCATTTGTCTCCATTTCAAACTTTTATCTCAAAACTTATCTCAATTTTCTTCTTTTATTATTTTTTCATTTATAATATACAGAAAAATGCTTCTTAAATACATTAGTTTTTTCTTTCTTCTAATTGAAAATTAACTGCATTTAGCCTTAGATGTTTGACATGAATCAAGTCATAATCATTATTTTTATCATACCTAGAGATCGTATAGTCAGTGAGTGGAAACCCACTGCAAGTGATTTGAGTTCTGGTTTGACATTTCTGCAAAAATACAAAAGAAAAAAAAATTAAAGATCTCTAAAATACCAAACTGAGTTCAGTAGTAAAACATTCCTCTTAGTAGGTTAGAGCTTCATGATCAAATGAAAACCATCAAGAGAACAGTTTGTATTATTTCAAGGTATAGTTTAAAATTATCTAAAAAGGTAAACAAATGATGATAAGAATGATTTTATTTCTAACTAATGTGCAATAATATTAAAACTTTCAACAAAAAGGCTCACATTTTTTATTCTTCTGGAAATCTTTAGATCGTAGTTGGAATAGACTTTATTACGCCTACAATAAAAACCAATTTCATGTGTCTAGGGAGCCCTGGGGGCTTAGTGGCAACTAGGTGCACTGCAATCCCAATGGCATGATGTTTGAATATATGAGCTGCTCCACAGGAGGATGCACAATCTCCTACCATGTAATCAATTGCCTCTGAAAACCTGCCGGAGGATTACTCAGTTTCAATTTGAGGGCACACAACAATGGCATTGCTATTTAATTGATACAGCCCATTTAGAACGGTAAATAATTTCATCTAGGTCAAGGTCTTAGTAAAGATCTTTTTACTTCTTATTTCTGCTATTAACAGAAAAAAGTTTGCATAGCACAAACCACAAAAACAAAACTGAACCCCACCTGTGTCAAGTGGATTCTGATTTATAGGGATCATTTATTGGGTATCTGAGGCTAGAAATCTTTTTGAGAAAAGATTGTCCATCACTTTCTGTCAGAGAACTGTAGATTAGAACTGTTGACCTTATGGTTAACAGCAAGACATATAACATATCATGCCACTGGAGACCTTTATAATACAACCAACAGGATAAAAACCTATTCTCTGTTTCTAGTTAAAGTCAATATTTCCTTAATGTTAGAGAGCATATTCGTATACCATTAAAAATGCACTCATTCTTGCATTTAGAAAGCAATTTTGAGAATTTCACTTTCTGTGCTGAATGAAATTTGTGATAAAATTATCCCTGTGATAAGCTAATATTTTTCAAGTGAAATGAATTTCCCTGGCTGTGAGAAAGTGACTGAGTTTGTTTGTCAACAAAACCAAAACTCGTTTTTAAGCTGAAATCTGAAATTTACTGGTACAAAAGGTTATTTTCCCCCCTTAAATTCCTTAGCTGAAAGTCCAAAAAGTAATACAAGTAAGTTTATTTCTTCAGTTTGTTTCCTACCCAATACCAGTCAGTAGCCTCTCTAAATTACTGAGGAATAATGATGTTAATTTGAGGACTAAGATATGCCTGATTCAATCACTTGCTATAAGGATGACGGCAGAAGAATTGATATCTTTGAACTGGTTCTGGAGAAGAGTACTGACTATTTCATGGACTGCCAAAAGAATAAACAGGTATGTCTCAGAGAGGTGCATCCAGAATGCTCCTTTGAGGAAAGGAAGACAAAGTTTAGCTTACGTACTTTGGGCATGTTGCTAGGAGAGTATATTCATTGGAGAGGGACATCATGCTTGAAATGATGGAGGGTAAGTGAGAGAGAGGACACTTTCAACCAGGCAGATTGATAGAGTGCTTGCAGAAATGGGCTCAAGTGTTTCAGAAACTGTGAGGATGGTACAGGCGAAGACAGGGTTCAAATCTATTGGTCATGGGGTCAGTATGAATTATACTCGACTTGACAGCACCTAACAACGATAGCAACGATCCAATATTGTGCTAGTTCTTGTTCATGAGAATAGAGATCAATACTATTTCATATCTTACAAGCAATTTCGAGAAGCAATTTGACTTTTTTTGGCTTAAGATTGTTTCATTACATACTAAGTGTAAATAATAATGGCTGCTTATCTTGTGACAATTGAATATAATGTGTCAAAGTATGTCAAGCACTTAAATTATACTACAACTTTAATCATTGCTAGCTCTCTTGAAAGGCTTAAGGGGAAATTATTTGTATAGAAAACTGAGATTAGAGTAACAAAATTATTCTATTTCGAAAAGGGAAAAAAGGAGGCATTTTTAAAGGAAAAAAATTGTTAACATTCATGTTAGTCTTTGGCACAATTCCTGATTGTTAAATAGATGATTAGTAATACTTAAATGAAGGTGAAGACTGGAGGCCATGATGAATTTGCTAAAAACATGTCAAATATAATTTGAATTTTTTATGTTTTCAGTCTGGTAAAGGAGGCACATGTTTTAGACACTATATATCATAATTTCAGCAGAAAAGAAACCTTTTATGATCTGCACCATTTCCAAAATATTTAAGAGTATTTTAAAGATTAGATACCACTATAAAGGCTCTGGTGGTCTAGTGCCAAGGAACTGTGCTGCCAATCCAAAGGCCAAAGGTTGGAATCTTCCAAGCTGCTTGAAAGAGAAAGATGCGCAATCTCCTCCCATGCAATTTTCTGCCTTCATAAACCAACTAGAGGTTCAGCTATGAGTCGATTCTGACTCAATGGCAATGAACAACAACAATAACATAAATTCAATGAAGGGAGTTCTTGTGGTGTAGTCCATAGGGACTTGTACTGCTAAATCAAAGACTACAGGTCTCCAGTGGTTGGAATCCAGTGGTTTCATGGAGAAAGAAAGGAATCTCCTCCCTTGGGATTTAAAGTCTTAGAAACATGCTTTTGATTCAAGAGCAAGGAGAATTTGAGTTTGAGAAAAATTAAATTCATATAACATAATAAAATGGAAACATAATATACTTTTATATTAAGAGAAAAAATAAATTGAAAATATTTCTGGCCCTGCTTGTGAAAAGACTGACACCTTTTCTCATAGCAGAGAGCACAGACCTACATTTTGCTGTAGTTAAACCTTTTCTAAAAGTAGATGTAATATTTTTGAGAAAGTTTTTCTTCATAAAAGGGACTAGTATGAGAAAATTCAAGAATGTCACCACCGCCTAGGCGTCCTCAGGCCACTGATTTCTCCTCTTCTTATAGACCATCTCTCCTCTGAGATCTTTACTTCCTTACAGGACATATATGCTCTTTTCATAATCATCCCTATATAATCATACATCTTGGACTTTCTCGTTGCTTACATTTTTTATTGCAGTCAGACTCACTCACTTACTGCACCTATTGTGTATTGTCAAGTCAGGACCAACTCATAGCTGACTCTCTAGTGGGTTTTCAGAGGCAGTAAATCACATGGCAGTTAATTACCCCAAGCCTCAACAGTGTTTTTAGCAAATCTCTCACCTTTTTGGCACTTTTATTTTGTAGTTGCTGTGTATGTGTGTGTGTATCTCTCAAATATGCTCAGTCAGTGAAGTGATTTTAAATTCATGAGCATAAACTTCAAATAGACCTTCCTGAATGAATACATCCTGTTGATTCTCAGACACTGCTGCCCCCCACCTGGCTTCCAAGGCTGAAAATCATAGTGGAAAAACACTGCTATCTTTCTCTTGCAGAACACCTGGTGAATTAGAAATGCTCAAATCATAGTCTTTGGACTAACAACACAGTATGCCATGAACTATGCCACGAGAATTCCCTGGCCTCTAGCATCATCGTAGTATATTGTTGTTGTTGATGATGTTTGCTGAAGAGTTAAGCACGACTCGTAGCAACCCTATCACTTTTCACGGTTTTACCTCAAGCTGCTGCTGTTCCTATGTTCTCATTCTCTGTTGACTACTTATCTTGTGTTGAACAGAAAACAAGAGAAGCAACCAGAAAAAAATATTCTATAGTTCTGTACCCCTCTTGTTTGTCATTGTTATTAGTTTTCATTATGTCGATTCAGACTCGAGGATATTTTATTGTTTATGTCAGAATGGAACTACTTTTTATTGGATTTTCAGTGATTGCTTTTTTGTCAGGAATAGATCAATGGGACTTTCTTCTGAGGTGCTTCTTGAGTACACTTGAACTTTCTGAAAGTATAACATTTACACCCCTGCAGACTCCTACTACTTTACACTATGCATACTTTGCCTATTGACTTCCTCGTTAGCTTACAGTTTCTTCTTGTATGCCATCCTATTTCTAATCTTACGCCCTCCCCACTGGAAAATAACATAAGGAAAGAGAGCCTCTTCTGCTCTAATTAATTCACAGTTGCATCCTCAGTGCCTACAACAGTGCCTACACACATAATGGAAACGTGTTCAAGGACAGAATATCAATAATTCTCAGTCATGTTTTAACACAAGCTCTAATGATGTAAGTGGGAAAGAATCATTAAATCATTTACATTTATAATTCTATTATACTATTTGTTTCACAGATGTTTTCTTTCAGGAAAAGGAAAAGTCTATGGGAAATTTGAAAATATTTCTTTGACAAGCTGGATTGACATGCGTCTGCAGCAATGGTCTCAAATGTGTTAGAGAATGTGAGAATGGCCCAGTATAAAGCAGAGTTGAGATCTGTTGTTTATAGGGTTGTTATGGGTTGGCTCAACTTGATGATAACTAACAAAAACAACAACTCAAATCTTAAATGTTAAGCCAGGCTACCATACTTATACATGAATATTTTTAAGACATATGCAAGGGTTTTTTTGTTTTTTGTAAAATTTATTTTATTATTATCATTTTGTGTGTGTGTGTGTGTGTGTGTGTGTGTGTGTACCATCAAATTGGATCTGACTGGTACAGAAGGAGATTGGCCCTCTTTTTTCCAGCAGAGCATCTGTTGGACCTTGGGATTTCTAACCAAAAGATTTGCAATTTGAACCCACCAGCTGCTCTTCAGGAGAAAGATCTGGCAATCAGCTACTGACAAGATGACAGCACTGGGAGTCATATGGGACAGTTCTACTCTGACCTACATGGCCACTATGTATTGAAGTTCGTTTGATGGCAACAAATATGGACATCTTAACTAGCTTTCCAATTTAGATGATATGGTCATTTCTCAAACACACCAGTTTTTTCCTACGTCAAGGTATTGGCACCTCGTTCATCTCCTTGAAAAGATCTTTGTTTCCTAACTAACTTATAATTAGGTTTCTTGATTAAAAGTGATTTCTTAGAAGAAGTACTTACTCCTCAAGTCCCCTATCCTAACACCATTTCAAGTTAAACAGGCTTTTCTTTTTTATTCCCTGTACTGGTGCTCTTTTCATTGACACTAAGAAGAGTTTGTAGCTATGTTTTTACTTATATCTCTAGCAGCCTAATATTTCCTATCAGAATCCATGCCATATAAGAACATACACTATGCCTATTTGATTATCACTGAATATAATTTGCCAAACATGACATCTAATTTACTTATTTGTCTAATGATTGAGAAACGTAATGAATTTTTCTTACATACTTGTCTGTTGTCTTCTAGGATGTTACAAGAGACTAGATCAAAAGTCATTCTGAAGATGGATTAGACAAGTTGGAGTGCCAATATACACTACATTTTATATTATACAGTCCTCTTTTCAGTTGTTTTCACTTAACAAGTGTAATAGATAAACCATAACAGATCATTCAGAGTGTAGGACATGCCAGAATGAAAAAACTTTTAAAGACACATTTAAAGGGGGAGGGGGTGGGGATTAATCATTTGTCCTTGAAAACAATGTATTCGAATTTTGTAAATAAACTAGTAGAAAATTTTAAAAAAGTAAAAAAGAAACTTTTAGGAGTCCTCTGATGACTGACATAACTGCCAATTGTTTACACCTATACCTTAAAATTCTTAGTAAGAAGAGAAAGGATTCTAGTTTTTTGTTGGTTTATTTTTTTTAATTTAGTTTTAATATTTTGGGTGTGTGTACCATTGAATTAGATCTGACTGGTACAGGAGGAGATTGCCCCGCCTTCTCCAGCAGATCATTTGGTGGATTTGAACCGCATACCTCTGGTATTGCAGTACAGCTTCTTGCCACTGGATTCTAGTTTTTGTAATGGAAGAATTAAAGGCAAAACTAGTATAATTCCCAGCATGGAAGTATCATAATCCTAATATAAATTATCCCCCCAAAATGTTTATATAACAAGACACAAGTGTTATTGTTGTTATGTACCTTTGAGTTTTAACTGACTCATAGCTGACCCTTCAGTGGGTTTCACATGGGAGATACTTGCTCATCTCAATTCTGTGGAGAAGCTGGTGAATTTTAATTGTGTGCCTTTAGACTGGCAGCACAATTCCCTTAACAAGATAAAAGTACAAGTGTTAAATATTTGTGAGGTAAACAATACAAGCATTTGTGCTGTATTTACAGACACTTCTATACGTACAGGAGCTCTGCTAGCCTAATGGGTAGTGAGTTGTCCTGCAAACCCAAAAAGCACTTGGTTTGAATCTAAAGGCAGCTCTATGGGAGAATAGGAGACAATCTCCTTCCATGTGTTTTATAGCCTCTGAAAACTCATTGAAAAGTCAGCTATGAGGTGGTTTTGACTTGATGGCAATGGAGGGTTTGTGTGTGTGTGTGTGTGTGTGTGTGTGTGTGTGTTGGTTTTTCTTTTAAAATATAAACATGGGGTTTCTTTCCCAAAGTTGGAAATCTGAGCTATATTTAATCGGTCTCTTAAGACTTGTGCTGATTCTTTTTTTTTTTTTTTAATTGGTTTGCTTACAAAGTTTGTATACATTGTGTTTCACATTATTTCTCATTCATATTGTGTTTCATACAATCATTCTCATGCATTATGTTTTACAAAATTAATCACCATTGGACCTTGCCCATCATTACCCTGTCTTTTCACCTGGATTATTCTTTTTTCCTCCTCCTCCCAACATGCTTTTTTAAAAAAATAATACTTACTTAAAAACCAGCATGAAAGCCGGGGTGGATCCCAGTGAACTTATAAGACTACCCATGACTTGCACTACTAAAAACAAGTAAAATTTCTTTTTACAATGATCTTTTCTTGGACATTCACCCAAACGGACTGAGTTGTTTCTGTTTGGGAAATCAGCCATATCCACACAATGACAGTTATAAAAAACCTGTAATAGTTTTCAAAATATGAAAAAAATGCATTTTCAAATTATGACATTGCCACAAAAACACCCCAGTCACTTAAATAAGTCCCTGATTTTAACGAAAAGAATTACTCTCTCTCCCCCACCCCGTTACTTACCACATAAGTATTTTAATCTTAATCAAAGCCTCTTGGGTATTAATTTTTTATGATAATTTAAAAATCTCCCCCCACACTCATTTATTTACAAAATTCTAATACAATTTTGAACAAATTCTTTCAATTTCCCTCATCCTCCTACCCATCAAATTGATTAATCCTCCCTTCCTCTTACACATCCACATCCCTCTGATTCTATCCTCTCCCTTCTGTCCTGGATTCTTATACTCATTCTACAATAATGGTCTTATACAATATTTATCCTTGTGGGATTGAGTTAGTTCACTTAGCATAATGCTCTCCAGTCCCTCCCAAGTTAGGTGGCAATTTCCAAAGTTATTGCTCCTGCATGCTGCATAGTATTCCATTGTGTGAATGTACCATAATTTCTCAGTCCATTGTTTTGTGGTTGATCATTTGGGCTGTTTCCAAGTTCTCGTGATGGTGAATAATGTTGCTATGAACTTTGGTACCAAAAATCTCAGTTTGTACCTCAATTCTCATATTCTCAGGCTATATTCCAAGTAGTGGAATAGCTCTGCCATATGGAATTTCTATGTTCAGCTTTTTGAGGAAGCACCAAACTGCCTTCCAGAATGGTTGCACCATTTTACAGTCCCACCAACCATGTATGAGTTCCTTTCTCGCCACATCCTCTCCAACATCTATTAACTTGCTGCCCTGTTAAACTCTGTCATTCTTACTGCAATGAGTGAGATAGTACCTCTTTTTGGTTTTGATTTGCATCTCTCTTATTCTCAGTGATTTGGAGCATTTTTTTTCAAGTGTCTGTTTGTAATCCAAATATCTTCCTCTGTAAAAATTCTTTCCATGTCTTTTGCACATTTTGTAATTGGGTGTTTTTCTTGTGGAGGCCCAGGAGTAAACTTTTGTTATAAGACTCTTGTCTGAGATGGTATTACCAAATGTTTGTTCCCAGTCTGTAGGTTTTATTTTCACCTTGTTGCAAAATGTTTTTGATGTGCACATAGATTTAATCTTTAGAAGGTCCCATGAATCAATTTTATCCTCTTTAGATTGAGCATTTCTGGTTGTATTTGGCAGTCTCTTTATACCTTGGACTAGCACGTCTAAGTTTGATCACAGTTTGTCTCTTATAAACTTTATGGTTTTGGGCTTTACTCCCAGGTCTCTGATCCATCTTGTGATTTTTATGTATGGTGTGAGATGTGGACCCTCTTTCAGCTTTCTGCAGGTAGAAGTCCAGTTCTGCCAGCATCATTTGTTGAAAAGGTTATAATTTCCCCATTTGATAGCTTTGGTTTCCTTGTCGAATATCAGTTGACCCTAGATGGCTGGTTATGATAATTTTTTTAATTGAGATTTTCATGAAAGTTTATAGAGAACTTGGATTTCTATTCATTGTTGCACATTTCCCTCCCTGTCCACCCCTCCCCCCCAGTTCACTTTTCTTTCTGGAAAAAAAAGTTCTTTCATTGTTATACAATCCCCCAGAGTCCACTTTACTATGCAGCTCTTATTCTAGTCTCTTGTCATGCAAATAATACTAATTACACATTCCTTTTAAACAGTTTTCTCCCTCATCTGTTTCAATGCCATGTGCATTACTTATCCCCTGTTTTCTTAGGACATTATGCTGAGTGAACTGTCTCAGTCGCAGAAGGACGAATGCTGCATAATACCATTGTTATAAAATAGAACTGACATCAGGGATTGGGGGGGAACTAAGAATCACTTTTTGTTTTATAAGAATCACTTTTTAAAAAGTATATTCACTTAACAATTGAAAGATACAGTTGTTCCACTGGTATGTTTCTAGATAAGGAAAAACAGTTCACTGTTATCATTCAAATTATGCTATTTTTTATTAGGAAATAATTTAATAAATTAAGAAGTATCTAATTATGCATATAAGTTTTCACTAAGCAGACTTTTAAAAAATATTGCTGTACCACTTTTGCTTTCTCAAATACTTAATCTTTTAAAGAATCTCAAAGTGTCGATCTTGTGAAAAGGGGGATGACCCAGAAATAAAGAAAATAAATAAAGAAAAATATGGCAATCTGGGTGCAGCTAAAACCTGAAACCAGAATTATTCAGCATATAGCTAGCATCAGAGCTATCCTTGCTTATAGAAAGTGAAGAAGACCTAATGGGTTTACTGAAGAAAATAAAAGCCTACAGCCTGCTATATATAATACATTTCAATTATCAAGAAAATAAAAATCCTCACAAATGGACCATTAGGATGGAGAAAAGATTGAAGTTGTGAAAGATTTTTTTTTAGTAACTTGGATCCACAGTGAATAAGCACAGTATCAGTAGTTAAGAAATCAAAAGGCATGTTGTTTGGGAAAATCTGCTCTCAAAGACCTCTTTAAAGTATTAAAGGATGTTAGTTTAAAGACTAAGACGTGCCTCTCCTAAGTCATGGTGTTTTAATTTACTTCATCTCTGCATAAGAAAATTGAGCAGCAAATAAAAAAAAAGAAATTATGTCTTTAAACTGTGATATTGGGGGAGAGTATTGAATATATTACGGATTGCCCAAAGAAGATGTAGTAAATCTGTATTGGAGGAACCACAATCAGGGTGCTCCTTGGAGGCAAGGATGATGAAACTTTTTTTCACACACTGCAAGCCATGTTGTCAGGAGGTACCTGTTCTTGAAAAAAGATATTATGTTTGAAAAAGTGGAGGATCAATGAAAGAGAGCAGATCCTCAATGAGACGAATTGACATGACAATGGACTTGGGCTTGGTAGAGACTGTTCTGATGTCACTATGATTTACAGCCAACTCTATAGCACCACCTCCACCACCACCACAACCAAGATTTACTTTATCACTAAGAAGAAAATGTGGGGAATTCCTTATAAATAAAGGAAATCCAAATTTTGGTAAAAGAAACATTATTTTGGGTGGTTAGAAAGGGCTGATTGATTACTTAGAATTTTACAAATAATGTACCAAAAATTTTCTTAAGGTGTACTTTTTGCCAGTATTAAGAGTAGGGTTGTCTCCATGGTAAACATATCTTTCTTTAAGATCCTAATATCCTAGATATTCATTAGTAGGCACAGAAGGACCATGGACTAATTAATGCAAAACTCTCAGTAAATGGCACTATGGCCATAAATGTGAGCTGTGGGCTTTTAAGAATAGTCATTGAGTTGAATTTATACAAGTATATTAGATTTGTGGTTCAGTTTCAATGTTCTCAGTATAGCCAAGAGTAAGGAGTCCTGGTGGCATAAAGCCTAACATATTGGTCAGCCATTCAAATCCACCAGCTGCTATGTGGGAGAAAAATAAACAGCTTTGTTCAGTAAAGATTACTGTTTCAAAAACCTGACAGGAGTTTGCTAAGAGTCAGGACTGCCTATACTAGAACTGACAGTAATAGGTTTGTTTGTTAGAACAGAAAATACCTCAAAAATTAGACACAGATTTGCATAGCCAAGAAGAAGGGTCATAGCTAATTATGTTGCTAATGTCAAAGATAGATAAAGGGCACAGAAAATGTTTTATCTACTTCCTGAGACACTGGGTGGGTGGGAGGTGTATTGTAGTACAGTATCTCAAATCTTCATCAGTTGGGAGGAAAACCGATAGTTAACATGGCATGGAATACTTTGTGGCATTGTTGTTGTTGTTGTTTGGTGCCGTCAACTCTAGACAACTCAGCGACCCTATGAATGAACGGCCTGAGAACCTTTAAGTAGGCAAAATAGTAAGTTATCCTGGATAGGAGAAGTACTAGCTTGGTGAAGAGCAAAATTGGATGTTGACTGAAACTGAAGTTTTGCTTCTAGAAAAATCAACAGGAAATGGTGGTGCTAGAATTAAATATTTTATACAAAAATCTGTCCTGAAAAGGTAGATTGTGTTGACAATGTATTGGTTCAGGATTTTCCCCTAACTCCTAAAAGGTAAAAACCTCTAAGTTGATGGAGTAATATTATTCAGTTAAATTCTAAAATTAGGTGCTTCCTAGATATCCTATAAGTATTATAAACACAAAAAGTTGTATTTTAATACTATCTAGGGGAAAAAAATAGGTAATTTGAAAATAGAACTGAAGCAAGAAAAATCTACTTGGGTTCCAAGAAAGTTCCAATTTTATATGAGGTTTTTGTTTACATATCAAAACAGACACATTTGGAAATCTTTTTACTGCTTATTCTAGTCACAGAAAAATTTGGTAAGTAATTATGAAATAAATTACTTGATTTTGGTTTGGAAGACAAAAAAAGGAGAATACTCACTTTTGACTTTGGATTAGTACCTGAAGATGTGCATCCTGCGAGACAAGGTGACACATAAGTTATTCCATTTTCTCCACAGACTGGTTCCCATTGGCTTTCATCACAATTGCAATCCATGTTGCAATAAGAGAGTGATACATTTATATGAGACGTTACTGGGTTTTTTCTGCAAATACATAATAGACAAATACCAGGTAAAAGAAAAAGAGGAATTTATAGAGAAAGAGAGAGGAAAAACACACAGAATATCCTTTAGTTTATTCAGTCTTACTTTTGTTGAGTCAGAACTAACTTATAGTTTGACCCTCCAGGGGATTTTTGTTGTTGTTAAGTTTTTAAGTGCCATCGAGTCACAGGCGACTTATAGCTACCCTATGAAGGAGAGTCCTTGACGCTTGGAGACTATAAATTTCTCAGAAGAGTACTAATCATCTTTTTTCCTTGGATTTATTGATGGGTTCAAAATCCAACTTTGGTTTAGCACAAAAATTCTCTATGAATTATCACAGCTTTCTTCCTTTAATTAGATGTTTTTATGTGCTGTCCAGTCATCTAAGGCTCATAACGACTCTATGAACAATAGCTCTGAATCCTGCCCTATCCTATGCCATCCTCACCACCTCCAACAACCTTGAGCCTATTTACACAGTGGCCATACATCTTGTTGAGAACTTTTCATTCTTTTGCTGATCTTTTACCTTTCCAAGCATGACATCCCTCTCTAAGGACTGGTTTTTCCTAACAACATATCCAAAGTATGTAAGATGGAGTTTCACCCTTCTTGCCTCTAAGGAGAACTCTGGTTTCACTTTACCCAGACACAATTTGGATTTTTGGCAGCCCGTGGGAAAGCTATAAGATCCATGGAGACATGGAGACAGATGGAGAAAGATTGATATTGTCAATGATTTCACATTACTTGGATCCACAATCATTATCTTTGGTACCAGAAGTTAAGAAATCAAAATATAAGTTGCATTGGAGAAGCTATTCTGTCAGGAATTTCTCCAAGGCACTAAGGAACAGCAATGCCAGTTTAAAGACTAAGATGTACTTGATCCAAGTCATGGTCTTCTGAATTACTTGTTATGCATCTGGAAGATGGACAATGAATAAGGATGACAGAAAAACAATCACTGCCTTTGAGCTGTGGTGTTGGAAAATAGTACTGACTTTAAAGTAATTAAATAATTCTAATCTTTTAAATTAGGTTGAATTTAAAAAACAATCTGTATTTTAATCTTTGCTTTTCTTTAAGAAAAGCATTTAACAAAGCAGGACTTTTAAGAATAAATTTTGCAAAAACATTTAGATTGGTTAGATTTGGAATATGCTGAGAAAGATTAGAAAATCTCTATATGCTTTAAATATAAAACTAAAATACGTTTCATATTGAATTTTGGAAGCAGGAGTGGCATCCACTTCCTAAATAACATGCCTCTGGAAACTCTATGATCTTTGAAAAATGTCGATAGTTGTAGAGGGGCTTCAAACCTTTTGTTCATAGGATTGCTATGAGTCATGCTCAACTCGAAGGCAATCAACAACAACATATTGAGTTAATTAAAGTTTATATCATGGTTATACATTAGAAAATACAGTTTTATAATATCACTAAAATAGGAAAATAAGGGCTCACTTGCATAATTAGTTTTCTGTTCTTTTTTTCCATGAAGTTTCTAGACTTTGAAAGAAGTCTTGAAAATAATTGATATTTATAAATTATATTTGAATGTTCAAGTAACTTAAACACAAAAGGAATATACTGAATAAAATTAGAAATTGTATTATCACTAATTTTACTAAAAACATCTAATAGCTAGTCTATTTGAGGACATGCCACAGAGAACAGTTATACATGAGAGTGATTTAGAACCTATTGAGACATTGTGATCAGATAACTCAGTATTCATAAACATTCTGCCACCTACAAATAACTTGACTATTAAAGGTAAAATCCCTTTCTTTAATTTTAACTCCTAGACGATGATTTCACGCTCAGTATCCTGAACGGAAGCAAATTAACTCTGCATTTCGCACAATATTTAGTTTCAGGAGACTATCACTTCTAAAAAAGTATTTTGGGTCTCAAAGGTATTTTTATTTGAATTCTATCTATCAGTATATATTATTGGAAATTAACATGGAAGAATGTTTAGTGTAGAAGAGTACACAAAACGCATGTATCACTGACCAGTAGACGTCAACTTATGTCATTGTATACTAATGAAAGAATGGAATGGAAAAATTAGTAATATATTACTATTATAAAGTAATTTTAAATTTGTGAATCCACTAATAAGATCTCAGAGAACCCTAAGGATTATTACACTTCTTTCTGAGAACTTATGCACCAGTCTATTTCTTAAAATGTTATATTTGTGGCTACCATTTAATAAACATTCAAATTGTATAGGTTATTTGGCTTCATTAAACTATGAATTTCACAGGGAAACCTATGTTTCTTACAAATAGTAACCTTGTAGGTGACACACAATAACATTTTATTAAGAAAGGGAAAAATCCTTCCTATATTTCCCGTATCTCTAGATACATTCTTCTGAATAGGTCATACAGTTAATCTATTTATTTTCAGGGAACTGGCTTTAGACTAAAGCCTAGTTTGACAATCTATGAAACTCTAGGACTAATGATATGAAGTAGGATATGTTTGAACGCATATATTACCTCAGACAACTCACAATTTCTCTGAATCTCAATTAATAAAGGAAATGTATATAAGAAAAAAAATTATTTTAAGATTCTTTTATACAAATGATACATATGTACAAACCCATTATAGGTCAAGGTTAGGCCTGCAACAGATTTGGTTTCACAGGTTAGGAATAAATTATTTAATTGGCACAGGAATGACAGCAAAAAACAAGAGAAGGATAATTTCGCAATTCCCCATAGACTGAGTTTGAATTTTTTAATGATATATCCTCCTATAAATAGTCCAAATGAAATAGTAGGTATGGTGATGATTCCTAGAAAAAAACAAAAAGAAACAAAACATTAAGCAATAAACAAACACTAATTCCACAAATAAGGGATTTATAAAAAATATTGCTTTGTGCGTGATATAGTGTGTACACAGACAATTCCATCTATTAATTCTTCTTGGGCAATTTGGAGGCAAACCAAGACAATTGTCAAGGACCCATATATCATACAAAACAGATAAAATGAATTTGTTCTTCTCTTGGCTCAGAACTTGGTTTTCCCAGAAGTAAAATCAGTGAGTGCAAGTATTTATCTGTATCTGAAAAGATAATTTTTCTATGAGACACTTGTTTTTTAAACAACAGACTTTCAGCCTACCCATATTGAGAAACTTATTGAAACCAAAGGATCATCGCCACAGTTAACTTTGATGGCGGTTGTGGTGCTGGAAACAACTTGTAGTTGACCCTCCAGCAGGTTTCAGAGGCAGTAAATTGCATGAGAGAAGATTGCTTATCTTCCTCCTGCAGAGCGACTGGTGGATTCAAACCACACATCTTTGGTTGACAGCATGATTCCTTACTACTGAGCCACCAGAGTTCCTTTTTCATTTTATAGCCATTGAAAGGATAATAGTTTAATTGACTCAGCAGCTCCAAAGAAGAAACACCTGAGCGTCTGCTTCTACAAATATAGCCAAGAACACCATGCAGACCTACTGTGTCCTGTGTGGTCATTGTGAAGCAGACACAACTTGATGGCACCTGGTAACAAGTTTAATAGGTATCTCTCAAGACACTCTAAGAAATACTGTAGCAAAGAAAATCTTTTCTGAAGTGTGATACCTGTACTGAGTTATTCCGTTATCAACGTTAGGTTTAAATTTATTTTCCTTTTCAAATTATCAATTGTCTACTTTTTATAAGTAATTGATTTCTGATTTCAAAGTCTATGAATTAGGAAATTATATTGATTGTTTTAGAAAAGAATTTACTTCAGGAACCCATCAATAAATTATAACCTCCAATGATACAGAAGCCATGTCTGAATGTTTTGTTTATGAAAACCTTTTTCTTCAGAACTCCTCCAATGATACAGAAGCCATGTCTGAATGTTTTGTTTATGAAAACCTTTTTCTTCAGAAATTTATGTATATATTCCATAAATGAGATGCATCTTTGATTATGGAACACTATTGATATCACAAGACTGAAAAGCTTAAGTTGGTTAAACATCAGTGGAAATTACACTCGTATGAGATTCCTTTCACCAACAGGGAACAAAAGCACTTTGTGGTGGTTGCTACATGCTGCTGAGTACTTGCAACTCATAGAGACCCTATGTATAATAGTTCTGAACTCTGTTATATCCTGAGCCAGTCTCACTGTCTCTGACACATCTATGCCTATCACCCCAATTTCTATGTCAATCCATCCCATCCAGGGTCTTCCTCTCTTGCGCTGTCCCTTCAGCCTTCCAAGCATGATATCCTTCTCTGAGGACTGGTCCTTTCTAGCAACATGTCCAAAGCATGTGAGACAGAGTTTCAAAATCTTTGTCTCCAATAAGCAACTTGGGAACTAATATACCTTCTATAAAGTGAGTAGGTTAACAATTGGACTTACCTATCCAAAAGTTTGCATCAGCTATTGACTGACCATACTGTTGTTCTACGTATTTGAAGATATACGTAAGAGCACCAGCAAAGCTGCTGAAGTATAATAATGACATACTCAAGTATGTAATATATAGGGGGTTGGTAAGGATATTTTTCAAGGACTGGTAGAAGCCTATAAGGAGTAATAGAAAATATATTAAAGCATATCTTAAATATAAATTTAAACTCAAATATATTAATATTTTCTTTGGCAAGTATAATTCAAATGATGTAAAATTAAGGTTCCTTAAAAACATAAACAAAAAAGAAAGTATGTGTAATCCTACCATCAAAAATGTCTTTAAAATATATCCCTTCAATTTTTAACATATACTCATTAACATTTATTTACTTAGCTTATTTTATAAAAAATGACAACATATGCACATTAATTTGGAACTGCTTTGAACTGTGGTGTTGGTGAAGAGTGCTGAATACCCCACAGACTGCCAAAATAACAAACAGATATGTCTTGGAGAAGGTGCAGTCAGAGTGCTCCTGAGAGGCAAAGATTATAAAGCTTTGCATCACATACTTTGGGCATGTTGCTAGAAGAAATTATTCACTGGCGAGAGACATCATGCTTTTAAAGGTGGAGGGACAACAAAGAAAAGGAAGACCTCCAACTACATGGAATGACACTGCAATGGGCTTAAGGTGTCAGAAATTGTGAAGATAGTACAAGGTTGAGATCTGTTCTCCACAAGGTTGCTATTCATTGTATTTGATTTGACAGCAGCTAACAAAAGTAAAAGCAATGACAACATACATACTATTTAGTTCTTGGTACTATGCCTTAAAATTGTATACATCGATATCACTCATAGACATCAAGTGGGAAAAGACAAATAGCAGACCCTCCAGTGGGTTTTCAGAGTCTGTAAATCTCACAGACGTTTGTCCATTTTCACCCAGCAGAGCTACTGGTAGGTTGGTAGATTTGAACCCCCAGAGCAGTACTGCCTTTACATTAGCAGTAGTTGATGTTATGTTTCTTTCGAGTCATCTGTGACTCATTGGCACCCTAACAACAGCACTGACCCTGACCTACCTTAAACCAATTTCATTGTCTCTGACATATCCACCCACATCATCGCAGTCACTGAGTCAATCCATCTCATCTTCCTCTCTTGCACTGTCCTTCAACCCTTCCAAGCATGTTGTCCTTCTCCAAAGATTGATCTCTCCTGGCAACATGACAAAGAATGTGCGATGGAGCTTCAAAATTCTTGTCTCCAAGTAGCAGCTTGGTTTTACCCTTTCCAGGGCAGACGTGTTTGCTCTCTTGGCAGTCCATGGTGTGCTCAATACTCTTTTCCAACATCACAATTCAGAGGCATCAATTCTTCTATTATCATTAGTCATTGTTCAGCTCTCTAATGCATAGCAAGTAATTGCAAAGATCAGGCACATCTTAGTCTCTAGACTGACATCATTGCTCTTCAGTACTCTGGAGAGGTCCCTGACAGAAGAGTCCCCTAGTGCAATTCATCTTTTGCTTTCCTGGCTGCCAGTACCAAGAGTGTTGATTGTGTAACCGAGCAAGCTGAAATTGTTGACAGACTCAATCTCTTTACCACCTATCATGTTGCTGCTAATTGGACCAGTGGTGAAAATCTTTGTTTTCTTGATGTTGGCCTTCAATTCATATTGCAATGGCAAGAAACTGTGCTTTGGTCCTGAAGGCATGCAGTTTAAGGCCATCAGCTGTTCTGGCTTGAGGCTAGGCAATCTCCTTCCATGTGATTAATTGCCTCTGAAGACCTACCAGAAGGTCAGCTGTGGGTGAGTTCTGACTCTATAGGACACAGAAAACAACATGCAAGTTCAAACTGAAGCTAAAGAAATTTATATCAAATCCATAAGAACCAAAATTTTACTTCGTGTCTATCCTACTTGAATTAAAAAAAACCATCTCAGAAATAGATTTGAGACCGTGAACACTGATGAGTGTAGGCCATATGAACTGTGGGAAGATATAAAGAATATTTTTCATGAAGAATGCAAAAGGTCGTTACAAAGAGGAGGAAACGACTGAGATAGATGTCAGAAGAGACTCAAAATTTTGCATTAGAACACCGAGAAACCAAAGCAAATGGAAGAAACCAAGAAATTAAGAAGAACCTGAATTGAAAATTTCAAAGGGCAGCATGGGAAGACAAAGCAAATTATTATAATGAAATGTGTAAAGAGCTAGAGCTGGTAAATCAAGGATCAAAGTCACTCAGCATTTCTTAAGCTGAAGGAACTGAAGAACAAATTTAAGCCTTGAGTTGTATAGTACTTAAAGATGCTGTGGGCAGAATAATAAATGATCCAGGAAATATCAAAAGATGATGAAAAGAGTACAGAGTCACTATACAAAAAAATAACTGGCTGACACAGAAGTATTTAATGAAACAACTGGTTGTTGTTGTTATGTGCCGTCCAGTCGCTTGCGACTCATAGCGACCCTATGTACGACAGCCCTGAACTCCGCTCTGTCCTGTGCCAATCGCACTGTCTCTGACACTCCCATCCCAACTATCCCCGTCACTGAATCAATCCGCCTCATAGAGGGCCTTCCTCTCCTGCGCCGTCCCTCCACCCTCCGCTCTCTAAGGACCGGTCTCTCCTCACAACATGTCCAAAGTATGTTAGATGGAACCTCAGAATCCTTGCCTCCAAGGAGCCACGTGGTTTAACCCTTTCCAAGATGAATCTGTTTGTTTTCCTAGCAGTCCATGATATTCTCAATACTCTTCTTCAGCACCACAGCTCAAAGGCATTAATTCTCCTTCTATCCTCCTTGCTCATTGTCCAACTCTCTGATGCATAACAAGTGATTGCAAAGACCATGGCCTGTATCAGATGCATCTTAGTCTCCAGAGAGACACCATTGCTCTTCAGTACTTTGGAGAGGTCCCTAACAGCAGACTTTCCCATGGCAATGAGCCTTTTAATTTCCTAGCTGCTGGTGCCAAGACTGTTGACTGTGGAGCCAAGCAAACTAAAGCTGTGTACAATCTCAATCTCTTCACCATCCATCCTGATGCTGCCAATTGGTCCAGTGGTGAGAATCTTTGTCTTCTTGACATTGAGCCTCAATCCATATTGTAGGCTGCAGTCCTTGACCCTCTACAGCAGGCGCTTCAGGTCCTCTTCAGTTTCAGCAAGCAGGGTTGTGTCATCCGCATAACGCAGATTGTTGATAAATTGTCCACCAATCTTCACCCCACATTCCTCCTCACAGAGCCCAGCCTCCCGGATAATCTGTCCTGCATATAGGTTGAAAAGGTATGGAGATAGGATGCATCCCTGGCGTATGCCCTTCCCAATTTTGAACCATGCAGTGCTCCCTTGCTCTGTTCTGACGACTACCTCCTGATCCAAGTATAAGTTTCACATTAGGACGATCAAGTGTTCTGGGATTCCCATTCTTCTCAGAGTCAGCCATAGTTTGTTATGATCTACACAGTCAAATGCCTTTGCATAGTCAATGAAACACAGGTAGACATTTCTCTGGTATTCGCTGCTTTCAGCCAAGATCCATCTAACATCAGCTACAATATCTCTAGTACCACGACCGCTTCTGAAACCAGCCTGGACTTCTGGTAGTTCTCTTTTGAGAACTTGGTGAGCACGTCCAGGGCAGCATCTGTTAACTGAAATATGTCAATTGGTATACCATCTATTCCTGGAGCCTTATTTTTGCCATTTCCTTCAAAACAGCCTGAACTACTTCTTTCATCACCATAGGCTCTTGCTCATATGTTGTTTCATGAAATTCTTCTACACACCAGTTCTACAGGATGCATCACCTTTGTTCGGGAAACATTACGACTAAACTTCAGAGGCCTTGATCCCAACATAATGAACTACTATCAGCTGATGTGTTTGGAGTCACAGAAGCCATGGAAGCTTCATATATAAGTTATTAGATGGAGGGCTGGTCAAAGGGAAATAGATGTGAAGGGGGGTAGAAGTGGATGGGTATCCTGATGGATGATGGAGCAGGGAAATAAGTGGGTAAAGACTTGTGTGAGAAAGGCAGGGACAACACTGGCACTAAAGTTAACTCCACAATAAGGGATATACCTTTAACTTGCTGGTCTGTCTGATACTTCTCTAAATCTGAGTATTCACATTAAGACAGACTAGGAAGAAGGATTGGCCATCCACTTCTGAAACAGCAGGCCTCTGAAAACCCTATGTACAACAGAGCACATTTAGATAACAGAAAAGGCAAAGGAGGTTGAGTTTTCAAGTATGGAAATACAAAGGAAGAGGAACAGTTGTAAGCCGACACTGGTGATTGGGACATGGAATGTGAAACAACCTAGGTTCAAGAAACAATGGTGATGAAGAAGCTGCTCTGAAAGAATTGGCAACAAACAGGGCCCCAGGAATTGATGGAATACCAATTGACATATTTCAACTAACTGATGCACCCGTGGAAGTGCTCACCTGGCTATGCCAAGGAATCTGGAGGACAGTTACCAGAACAATTGACTGAAGGTTTTCCAAAAGTGACTGGAACAATACATTGACACAGAACTACCAGAAATTCAAGGTGGATTTAGAAGAGACTGTGGCTCTAGGGCATCACTGTCAATGTCAGATGGATCTTGGCAGAAAGCAGAGAGAACCAGAAGAAAAATGCCTGTGTTTCATTGACTATGCAAAGGCATTTGACTGTGAATCACCACCAATTGTGACTAGCCTTGAGAACAACAGGAAACCTAGAAAACCTCATTGTGCTCATGTGGAACCTATACTTAGACCAGGAGGAAGTTGTCAGAACAGAGCAAGGAAACACAGCATGGTTCAAAATCAGAAAAGGAATACATCAGGGATATGTCCTGTCTCCATGCCTTTTCAACCTCTATGCAGAACAGATTAGTTTGAGAGGCTTGACTTTATGAGGAGGAAAATGGCATCAGAAATGGAGGAATACACATCAACAACCTGCATTGTGCAGATGACACAAAAATTTTTACTTGCTGAAACTGAGGGTGGCCTGAAGCATCTGCTTCGGAGGGTCAAGAACTGTAATTTGCAATGTGTATTGAAGCTCAACATCAAGAAAACAAAGATTCTCACCCCTGGGCCAATCAGGAGCATCGTAATAGATGGAGAAGAGATTGAAATTGTTAACAATTTCAGCTTACTCGGTTTGGTTCTACAATCAACACTCTTGGCATCCACAGTCAGGAAATCAAAAGACAAATTGCATTAGGGAAATCTGCTGTCAGGGGCCTCTCCAAAGTACTGAAGAGCAAGATGTCAGTCTACTGAGTAAGTTGTGCCTGATATAGGCTACGGTCTTTGCAACTACTTGCTATACATCAGAGAGTTGGACAATGACCAAGGATGACAGAAGAGCTAATGCCTTTAGTTGAGATGCTGGAGAAGAGTTTTGATCATAATATGGACTGCCAAGAAAATGAATAGGTCTACCTTGGAGAGAGTGAACCAAGCTACTGCTTGGGAGCAAGGATATTGGGACTTTGTCTTACATACTTTGGGCATGTAGACAAGAGGGGCTAGTTTTCGGAGAAAGGTATCATGTTTGGAAGGGTTGAGGTGCAGCACAGAAAAAGACAACACCGGATGAGATGGAGTGACAAAGTAACTGAGTTAATGAGGGTAGATATGCCAGTGACAGTAAGATTGGCTCAAGATAGAGCAAGTTTCAGAGACACTGTGAATTATTGTTGTTGTTATGTGTTGTCCAGTCACCTGTGACTCATAGCATCCTTTGAAGCCTGTCCTGTCCTGAGCCAGTCTCACTGACACTTTACTTTACACTTTTTAATGATACTCATTACCCCAGTATCTATATCACTCCGCCTTATTCAGCTCTTCCTCTCCTGTCCTGTCCCTCCACCTTTCCAATTATGATGTGCTTCTCCTAGGACTGGTCCCTCCTGGCTACATGCCCAAAGTATGTGAGACAGAGTTTCAAAATCCTAGACTCCAAGGAAAAACTCATTTTAAAGTTGGAGAAACTTGGCATAAAAATGCCTTCTAATGTATACTGCATTGAAACAGATGATGGAGAGAATAATTTAAAAGTGATATATGATAGGGTATTATAGTTATCACAATTCATGTCAAATTATTTTATATTTTCTAAAACACTAATTCTGGACAAGAGTCCAGAATTAAGGTTGCATAGTGGAGTATACTTGGGCAGTGGGAGGGATCCAGGGGGATTGTATACTTTTCAAAGAGAGGAGCGAACTGGGGGTGGGGTGGGGTTGGGGAGAGCTGGGCAGGGAGAAAAGTGTAGCAATGAATGAATGGAAATCCAAAATCTCTGTAAATGTTCATTAAAATTAATAAAATAAAATAAAATGCCTTCTGTAACACATATACGCACAGGCTATACTCATGGATTTCACCTGATGGTATGCACAGGAATCAGATCAATTATATCTGTGGAAGAAATCCTTGGAGAAGTTTAATTTTAGCAGTGATTAGCAATGATTAGGCCAGGTGCTGATTGTGGAACAGACCATCAACTACTAATATGCAAGTTCAAATTAAAGCTAAAGAATGTCAAGTCATATCCACAGGAATACAAATGTCAACTTCAGTCTGTCCGACTAGAATTTAAAAACCTACCTAGAAACAGGTTTAAGGCCTTGAACACAATATTCTATATTCAGGCCAGAGCATTTGTGGGAAGAATTAATTTAAGAATCAATAAAAGATTATAATCCCTCTTACTTTCATGGCTTGTGCTATCTAATTTTGAAACGGAAATACTTTTTTTGTTGTTGTTTTGTAAGTATCAGATGTTTTGCTTTTTGCTTGATTTCTCTCTGCTCAACTCCATATATTCAATGTTCTTCTCTTTGGACTATTGACAAGTGCTCAGGAAATATTAACATGAATGGGCACATTTAGGAAAATAATTCCATTATATTTCATGTAGAAGAAAGTTAACTCAAGATGATTTGAGTATAATTTATTTTCTGGATTACTTATTAACTGGAATTAACAATTCAAAGTTGAATAAAGTTGTAAAATACTTACCAGTCACATTTTCTGTAATATGTTGCTCATGGTTGATTAATTTGGCCGATAACTTACTTGCTTCTTTTGTTTTACTAGTATGTGAAGATATCGAATCTTTTCTACCTTTCTCTTGTTTATTCAGACTTTTTGGAAGGAAAAAGAATGGAATTGATGCAATAAGAGAGAGTGTTCCAGCCACAAGGAAACCAAGCCACCAAGCACCAACCCAACGAGAATCCTTAGGAGTTATTCGGATACTGCCTGTAATAAAGAATTAGAAAGAAAGAGTCAATTAAAAATCACATTAAAATGCAATGAAAACTATGTAGAATGATTTTTTATACTTCACAGATTAAGAAAGCATGCTGTATTTTATAATTTCTAAAACACTAGCATTTTTTCAAAGTGTTTTTATAAAATATACTAGTATAGTATAATATACTATAATAATATTATAGTAATTATATTCTACTATGCTTACTTATATTATGCTATAATTACTAGTATATTACAGTATAATATGCTAGTATATTTGTGGGAAGTTTTTTTTTTCTATACTTTCTCAACTCTGGAATAAAAATTATACCTTACATTCCTCTTATCCTGGAATCATTCATAACACTATTCACACTGCCTAACCTGTACAAACTTGAGGTCAAGAAAACAGTAACATTGTGCAACAATTTTTTTTAAAGAGAAAAGTGAACTGGGGTGGGGGGTAAGGAGGAAAATGTGCAATGATGAATGAATGGAAATTCAAGTTTTCTGTAAAATTTCATTACAATATCAATAATTTTTTTTAAAAAAAGCAAACAATAACACTGAAATTCATGTCAATCTGTAAGAACTCCTCAGAGGCAATAATGGAGCAGATTCCCCCTGCCCAGCCCCTCATTTTTAACTCTCTTGATAGCACAGCATATGGTAATTGGTGGGAAAACATAGATGATAAAAATTGAGTTTTAAAGTGGTCCCATGTAATGTCAAGGCTTTATTGCTAAAATTACTTTCACAGTATTGACTTTGACTTTCAAGTGAAAAGAAACTAGGGTGTATATAAAGTTATTATTATAATTGTTCAGCTTTTTCCTTCCCACAAAGTTAAATTGAATGGATTTAGCAGGAAAAACAGAAATCTCACTATCAGTAAGGAAAAAGAAAGACAGAGTACAGTACACATTATCAATCGCCAGAGATTCCTGTGACACTTAGATAGAGATCTTTAGCAACAAGAGATTGCCCTAGCAGATGCTGAACTGACATTTTTCTGAAGTCAGAAAGTCAGAGAAACGCACAAGTTCGGTAGCTGCCCATCTGATCTCAAGAGCATTGTCTTCAGATCAACAAGACATACCAATATCTCGAAGAAAGCAAACTATCCCACACAATTCACAGGAGCAAAGCAAGATGTCACTTGCAAAGGGTGACACAGTAGCAGTGGATACCCTGAAGACAGAAAGTCTCAGGGAACATTCTGACACAGAATTTAAAAAAGGAGCAACTGAATATATCCAATGGATGAAAGAAAAACTTGATGAATTACAGGATGCTACAAGCAAAGACCAAGAGGAGTTAAAAAAAAAAACAATGCAAAACATTGCAGAGAAAACACATAAGGCATTAGTGGCACTGGAAAAACAAGAACCCACCATTCAAAATATAAGGTCCAATGTTTCAGAGGCCATCAACATGATGGAGGGACATATGAGCAGAGTTGATGAGATGAAACACAGAATCAGTGAAATTGAAGACAAAATTGTCACCACTGATTTGCTAGAGCAAAAAGCAGACTCAAAAAAGAAGGAAAAAGAAGAAAACCTAAGAATCATGTGGGACACCATCAAGAAAAATAACATGCACATGATTGGAATCCCAGAAAAGGAAGAAGCAAGTAAAGGCACTGAAAAAGTTGTGGAAGAATTGCTAGAGGAAAACTTCCCAGGCATAATGACAATTAGATGGAGATCTACACAAGAACAGTAGCAGCCTTAACAGAAAACCAAAGGGCTGAACTAGGACTGCTGCTGACATAGGAACCAGAGTCTGAGGCCTTCACTCAAACTTGCAGGAGGACTAAGAAACTAAGGAAATTTTGTAATACTGACCTAAATTGTGAGACTAAAGGCCAAAGGGCCTGCAATCACACTTGAGAAGCTCTCTGAGTTGAGGAATTGTATCCTGTTGCCAGCTTGAATTGTAACCAGTCAATTTCTCTAATAAACCCCATAACTGTGAAATCTGTGTGCTTGTTGCAATGGATTTTAAATATAGTAGAGCAGTAAGATTAGGTTTGGGATTAGTAGAAATAAATGCAGGAAATAGGAGACCATAGCTGACTTTCTAAGACTTGCTTTTATACTGTGAAAGTTGCTGATAGAAATAGTGCCCCATTGTGGAGTTATTAGGTGCCATAGAGTTGAGTATGACTCAGAGACCCTGAGAGCAACAGATATATAAACCCTGTCCTGCGTGCTCTATCCTCATAAACTCTATATACTTGTGCCCATTGCTGCAATCACTGTCTCAGTTCATCTTGTGAAGGGTCTTCCCCTCCTTTTAAGGCCCTCCACCTTTCCATGCATGATGTTCCTTTCCAAGGAATTACAGAACAATAAATTTTGCTATTACAAAATCTGTATATAGACCCAAACCAATCATTTTAACAAGCTAAGGGGATTCTGCACTAAAATTGGGGAAAGTATGCATCAGGGATATATTTCTTTTCTCTATACCTATCAATTATATGTGCTTAGTAAATAATTTGAGAATTGAGAGTATATGAAGAAGAATTTTGTTTGAATTTTGGGAAAAGACTCATTAACCACCAGTCATGTGCAGATGACACAATCCTGCTTAAAAAACAAAAAACAAAACAAACAAACAAAAAAAACAAAACCCCAAACTTGAAGCACTTACTGATGACACTCAAAGACTGTAGTCTTAAGTGTGAATTATACCTCAATATCAAAAACACAAAAATTTTCAAAATTGGACTCATTAAATTATATTATGATAAATGGAGAAAAGATAGAAGTTAAGGATTCATTTTGTTTGGTCCACAACCTACAACCATGGAAGCAATTGTCAAGAAATCAAATGCTATTGTTGTTGTTAGGTAATGTCAAGTCAAGCATGACTCACAGCGACCCTATGAACAGTAGATCTAAATCCCTTCCTGTCCCATGCCATTATTCACAATGTCATTCCATCTCATTGGGATCTTCCTCTACCCTTCCAAACATGATATCCTTTCCTAGGAATAGCTGCATGCAACTTATCCATAGTATGAGAGACAAAGCTTTGCCAGTTTGAAGAATAAAGTGTGCCTGATTCTTTTCAATTACTTACTATGCATTTTAAAACTGGATGAGGACTAAGGATGACAGAAGGGGAAAAAATGATGCTTTTGAGTTGTGGTGTTGGAGAAAAGTACTGACTATCTCATGGACTGACAAAAGAACAAAGACATATCTTGGAAAAGGTGCAGCCAGAGTGCTCCTTGGATGTAAGAAAGACAAAGCTTTGTCTCTCATTGGAATGTGCAAATATGATGTCCAGGACCTCTTAAAAGTGCTTATAAACATTTACGTGACTTTGAGGACTAAAGTGCACATGACTGAAATCATAGTGTGTGTGTGTGTGTGTGTGTGTGTGTGTGTGTGTGTTTTGCTGCACTGCTGAAAGTTATTCCACAGGTATTTCAAATGCCATAAAAGTCACCCCTGATGGACAGGTTTTGGTAGAGCTCCCAGATTAAGACAGACTTGAAAGCAGGATTGGTCATCTACTTCTTAAATAGTAAATCTCTGAAAAACCGAGAAGACATATAGCTATACTATTAGAGGTAGTCTCCAGACTTGAAGTCAAACAAAATTAGGAAAAACAGCTGTAAAACCTCCTGTAATAGTCAGAATACAAAATGATTGAAGAATGAATATTGGAAAACAGGAATTGTGAAAAATGAAATGGAAACCATGAACATTCTAGTCATTTGTGAGAAAAGATGGACTAATTTGGACCACTTTGAATTAGACAATCACATGTTATATTACAGTGAGAATGAACAAAACAGAATAGTGTTGCATTCACAGTTAAAAAGATAATTTCTATCCTGAAGTAAAGAGTGATGTGATATTATCCATACACATAAAAGAAAAACCTGTTAATAGAACTATTATTCAAATATACACTCTCATAGCTAAAGTCAAAGAGAAAGAAATTGAAGATTTTTACCAAATCTTGCAGTCCAAAATTGACCAAATATGTAATTAAGATACATTAATGATAATTAGTTGCTGGAATGTGAACGTTGGAAATAATACAGAAAGAATGGTATTTGAAAAGTACAAATTTGGTGACAGATATGAATCTGGAAATATAAAAATCACATTTTGGATTTTCAATGTTTCATTCATCACAAATACCTTTTTTAAAAAAAAACAAAACCCATAAATCACAACTTTACCTATGGACCTCACCTGATGGGCTGCACAGGACTCAAATTTAATACATTTGTGGAGGAATCATTGGAGAAACTCAGTGTCAAACTCAGGCTAGGTGTGGACTCTGGAACAGACCATCACTTACTCACGTGCAAGTTTAAATTGTGGTCCAAGAAAATTAAAACAAGAAGCACTGTGGAAGACCAGATGAATTGTGGAATGACATCACGGATATTGTCATGAAGAAAGCAAAAGGTAATTTCAAAAACAATGGAGAGAGAAAAAACAAAAATGGATGTTAGAAGAGACTCTGAAATTTGCCATAGAGCATAGAGTAGCCAAAAACAAAGGGAAAAGATTTTGTAGTAAAATGGTGAACAGATTTCAAAGGGCAGCTCGAGAAGGCAAACCATGGTATTATAATGGAATGTACAGAGAGTTGGAATTGGAAAATAAAAAGGGAGGGATTCACTCAGAATTTCTCAAGCTGAAAGAACTGAAAAACAAATAAAAGCCTTGAGTTACAATATTGAAGAACACGATGGGCAAAATATTGAATGATCATAAAACATCAAAAGAAGATGAAAGGAATACAAGGAGTCACTGTAACAAAAAAAGAATTAACTAAGTTGAATAATTGCAGGAAGTACCATATGATCAAGAACAATGGTAATGAAGGAAGAACTTCAAGGTGCACTAAAGGCATTGGAAAAAAAAAGGTCTGAGGAATTGATGGGATACTTATTGACATGTTTCAAATAACAGATGCAGTCCTGGTTATGCTAGCCAGTTTATGCCAGGCAATCTACAAGACAGGTA